TTTGTCACCAAACTTTACCAAATTTATAATTTGGCCACTAAATAAATCCATTTATGAAATAAAATTCTTTTTGGGAAAATCACCATTTAATTCCCTAAATTTTTTCCCAAATTTCTACTTTGACCATCAAACATTCCAAATGTCCCAATGCTCTATTCTCCTGTCTGGCCCTTAAATTTTAGACCCTTTCAATCGCCTTCGCTTGGCAGGTCAACTGAATAAAGACCTTAAGAGGATCAGCGGTAGGTGCGAAAGGATTTCAAGGTATAAACCTTCTCTGAATCTCTGACAGTGGTGGACCTCTATCAATACCAACTATAGTGTATATTGGATCAATCCAAGATGCTCCCACTTATAATCATATATTGTTTAGTCCCTCTAAACTAAGTACATGAATTGATCCCTTAAGTTGTCTGTGTGAGCCTTATCGATACATTTTTTATTGACCTCCGATAGGAAGTACTCCCACGACGGTCTTTCTAGCTCCAATTCCAGCTTTATTATCTCCCACAAATCTATAGAGTCACCCTTCAGCAGGCTGGTGAATCAAGCTTACCCTCTAGGGTAAGATACAACTGATGGAACATATGGAGGGTCTCTCTGAGACATTGTTCTAATGTTACGGGGTCATCGTCCCCAGAATTGAATAAGTCAGTTGTCTTATATTTATGGATCTTCTCTACTAGAGATTCTTAGGTATTACAATGAGTTGAGTTGGAGGTGCTGGTGGGGTAGGTGGCACAACTTATGCCTAGGAATGACCCTAACAATCTATCTAAGGGCTGTAGTTAGGTCTTTAAAAAATTCACCTCATTTGCACTTGTGTCCTCCTAGATCTCAAATTGTTCAAAATTAGGGATAAACTCGTCACCAGTGTCCCCTATCATCCTGACTATGGGATGGGTTGTCGACCATGGTTTTTTATGAAACAAAAAGAGGATATTATTACCATTTTAAATATTAAATTACTCTCAACACTCTAGAGACATTTATACACACAGACGTCTACTAATTGTAACCCGCGAATCCTAGGAATAACTGAACTTGACACTCTAATACCATTAAGTGTAACACTCTAATCCGATCCATCTCAAAGATCGACGGACTAGTCTTAAACGGGACCACCAAAATGGCTAAGCCAAAATTTTTCTTTCAATTAACCATAAATCATCATTTAGAAATAACATTCATGAAAAACATATATAAAAACTTAAAATAGTTAAGCTACAAAAGCGAGGAGCTTTCAAAATACATCTCCAATTAATACATATCTAATGTTTCTAAAATAGAGTTGTGACTTAGTACAAAAGGGGTCAATGTATAATACATGCCCTTTACAAGACAAGACATACTCTTATGCCTTGGCAAATTTGAAACATTGGCTGGCGATAAGCTCCTCAATAAATCTCCTAAGAACCTGTGCACGAAAACACATTTTGAACACTGAGCTCACAAGTTCAGTGCCACACTAATAATTGTGTTATACCACGTGCATTAACTACATGATATGCTAGCAAACAGAGGCATGGACATACAAGAACACCAACATGCAAAGCTGAGGTAGGCGTCATGGTGTAGTCAGAGGGTTCTGCAGCTCGGGACGCACATCCCTCTAGCCTACCTATAATACCATTGGGTAAACGGGGTGAGATTCAAAACTGCATCGAAAACATACACCCAACCAGCTCAGTTTAGAATCTTGGGGCATATGCGTCAAGCCAACAACTGAAGTGCCTTGGCACTAACTGAGCTATATTTAGATATTCTAAACATGCAAGACGATCATCATACTACAGTAACACGAGTGTCTTGTCTGTTTCTGAACGTCACACAATGGCTAGTTTTATATCATCTTAATTCATATTGTTTCTAGTTGTGGCTGTAATCATTATCTATTCTCACTTGTAGTTTAATTTAGTGAAATTATGGCGCTATTAGACCCCTTCCCAAACCCTTTGTTCAAATTGGGTTTCTTACCTAATTTAAGAAACCCAATTTAAGACGATGGTATCGATACTAAGGCTTTTAGTATCGATACTGACAATTGAGTATCAGTACTCACCCTTAGTACTAGGGGTGTGCAAAAATATCTGACCTGAATGATCCGATCCGTTTATCCGATATCTGATACAATTTTTTTTCCAAATAATTCGAATTGGATATCCGATAAAAAAATCGGATAATCAGATCGGATATGAATCGGAAAAAAATCTGCTGCAATCTGCATTCAGCATTCCCCAAGCTAAGCTGAGACGTGGTGCTCCAGGCTACTAGAGATTAGCTATTTGGCATACTTTTCTTCTTTCTACTCTATATATATTCTTTAGAAATTTTAATTGTTTATTTTACATATGCTAATAAATATAACTTTGCTGTACATAATCTGTTTGTATAAATATACATATACAATAATTTTTTATACATAATTCCCTATATATATATATATATATATATATATAGCATTTCAGAGTTTAATTAAAGTAATAAATTGAAATAAGTTTGAGTAATATTCCTGTATATATATATATATTATATTCATAATCATAATCCATTAAAGTTTTCAATTAAACCAACTGTTTAATTGAAAAAAAAATCAACTTTTAGCCTTCACTGTACAAATATATTATTTAATTATTTATTTTAAAATCTATTTATTTATTTATTTTATTTTTTTAATATTATATGAGAGATTAATTCTAGGTAAATAAATTTTATATTCGGATCGGATATTTGAATATCCGAAATTTTGGATATCCGGTTTTTTCGGATCGGATTCGGATCATGATTTTAGATATCCGAAATTTTGGATATCTGAATTTTCGGATAGGATTGGATCCGATATCCGAATTTGCACACCCTTACTTAGTATTGATACCAAAATTGGCTACTAGAATCTGAAAAAGCTTCACAGTATCGATACCTTGATTTGGAGTGTCGTTACTTCTGTACTAGGGTATCGATACCATCCTATGTATCGATACGAAAATCAAGTTTGTTGTTTGGAATACTAAACTCAATATCAAAACCCTTAGGGTATTGATACCCCTGCTTTGTATGGTATCAATACCCCCATGAGTACCTATACTAAAACTAGCTATTGGAATTTATAATCCGATGATGGTACTATACCCTACCTTTAGGTATTGATACTACCAATCAAAAATCCTTGTTTTAGGCTATTTGAAAAATAGTAACGGTACTGTTTATACAATATTGATACCTAAACCCATAAATGCTTTGTTTTGAGCACGAATATGATGCCTAACTTTCTCAAAAGCCCTAATAAGGCACCCAACTATTATTTAATTCTTACGCATGTTAAGAGGGGTCATTGTAGGCCAATTTTCATGCTGAATAACATCATAACTGAAATATACCATGGATGCCCTTATATGCTTCATAAACTCATGCAAACGAACCAAACACATTTAGTGATCTACATGTGGTAGAGACGAGTTAGAGTCGTGTTACCTTGATTCCTAAGCTACTAAAAACACTCTAGGCTCAACCAAGTGCTAACTTCTCTTTCCTTTTTCTTTTGGAGCTTTCTCTAACTTATCTCACTAGACAAAAATCAAACATATGAGTTACTAACTTGATTGAGATCTTAGAAAAATGTTAAGAGAGTTTCCTAAGAATCAAATCCCCCAAAAAATGAGATGGAACGACATGAGTCTCTAAACCCCTTACTAAAACCTCCCATCTGGCTTCTATGACGAAATTGGGAGAAAAAAATGCTTGATTTGAAGCTTCAGTGGAAAAGATTATGATTCTTACCTTTAAAATTTTAGATAAGACTTAAAAGGCACTAAAGTTAGTTTCTTTCCTCAAGATACAAGAAAAACTATAGAGAGTTTGAATGGGAAAAAAGACAATGATGAGGAAAAAGAGATATGAAGCAATTTCAGTTTTTTCTCCTTAATATATGTTGTTGACATCACCCTCCATTATGGAAATTCAGCCTTTGAATTCTTAAATTGCATAATTACTCCCTTGGTCCCTCAAACTTTAGTCTCATCTAAAAAATACCCTTTTATCACTAATTGGGCTCAATCCAGGTCCAACCCAACTCAAACTTAGGCCAAGCTTTCCTACAAGGCTAATGGGTTTATCTAAAACCCTTTTGTGTTAGCCCGAAACTACTATCCCAGGATTTGGGGCGTTACATTATGGGTTAGAGATTAGGATTAGGGTATTTTATTTTATTTTATAAACTACGCATTTAGTACTTAAACTACAAGTTTTAGCCCGTTTTTATACCTAAACTTTCATTGTCCCCCCAAAAGCATACATAAGATTTAATTTTTGTTTCATTTTAGTACCCTGTCGTTAAAAAATGAACTCATTTAGTACCTAAATGTTCATTTTTTTTTCAAAATTTTATGTTAAGTTTTTAACGGGGGTACTAAAATAAAACAAAAACTAAACTTTAGGTATAGTTTTGAAAATTTTGAAAAATTTATGTACTAAAGCATATTGAAATTGATAGATGAGGTACTAAACATATAATTTACCCTTTATTTTATTTTGCATAGTTTAGGCTTTAATTTTGGAAATGAAATTAGAGTAGTTTACTTTATTTTTTTATAGATTAGGGTTTGGGATTCACATTGGCATTAAATACTAATGAATATATGAAAAGAAAATAAGAAAAATAATTAGGCATTGTAGAATGATCAAAATAGAAGTAATTCAAAAATGAATTGATATATTTAAAATATTTTAAATTTTAGTTACTAAAATAGGAGTTAAAAGATAATTGAATGAGGAATAATGTCAAAAATTCTAAATTTAATCATACCCACGAAGGGGAAGAGAGACTCTAAGAAAATAAAGGAGAGTGCTCGTAGCAACTGTAGAGTACAAGGAAACAAAGATAAAATGGTTTCAACAAAAATATATCGATTAATTTTTTAAATATAGTTAAGAAAAGTTATTGCAATGAAAGTAGTTAATTTATTTATAATTAAAGGTACAAAAAGAAACCGTTAACAAGAAGGCTTTAATTTATAGCAAAGATAAAGTGTTACATGCATCATCCCATTGATTGACTTTGGTGATCAAGTCAATATCCCATTGATTTATTTTGATGATCAAGTCGATCAAACCTGATATTGTTCAAGCTGAACATCTTTAGGCTTCAATGGAACATACTCTCCCAAGTAAACATCCAAGTGATCCGACAAGGAAGATTTGTCGATGTTTTCATGGTGGTAAGATTTGCACACAAAGTAAATCACTGTCTGTACAACCAATCCAAACAGAATCATCTTAGAAAGCAACAAGAAACAAAGAATGGCATAAACAACCCTCTTGCCCATTCCCTGGATACTCCCATCAACGACCAGCGTCTGAAACGCGGTCTGGATGATAAAGAAGCTGACAATGAGCTTCACGAAGATAGCAGTGGCCACCCAAAGCTTTCCCTTGATCAGGCTCTTGCTCTTCATCATGGCTTGGAACCCGTAAGCCTCTTCCAGAACCGACACGACGCTGGCCAACTGCCAGATTATGGTCATGTAAAGAAACCCGACGAAGTAAAAGAGCAGCACCAAAGCCAACACGGCGTCCACATAGTCGGTCTGCATTAACAAGAGCCCGCAACTGACCAAGATGAAGATCGTCGCCACGTGGTAGACGAACATGGTGGCGATAGTGCACAAGAAGGTGACCATCAGCCTTTTCCAGACCCTGGGAACGACGCTCATGACTTTGCCGAACGTCAGTTCACGAGCCGTGTATATGCAGGCGATGGTGTAAACCACCGCGGCAGTGGAAAGAAGGGAAAAGATTAGATAGAGAGTGAGATAGGCGGCTTTGAAGAGCCAAAAGAAGGCCAGTTCGGAGGAGATTAGATCGCTGAGTTTCCGGGATTTTGCGGGTGATGGGGTCTGCTGGAGTTCGACCTCGGTGTGCATGATTTTGCAGAAGAGGAGACTGGAAACTTCCATGTGAAGGAGGACGATGAAAGAGAGGGGGGTGATTAAGGATAAACTGATTTTGCTGAAGATTTTTCTGCATGAAATGATGAGTTTGAAAGATTCTGTGTAGATGCCGAAGAACCCTAGGAATTGCATCTCTTCTTGCTCTCGGTCCATGGCGTTTCGATGGAGCTTTAGAGTTGCAGAGAGAAATGGAAGGGATTTTGGGTGATTGTAGTTAAAGATTGGGCATTTGAATGAAATGTTTAAGAGTGACATGGAAAATCAAGTGTGGAAGTTTATGTTTGTCGTTACAAAGACGGCCAAGACTAATATGCCAAATCGTTTCGTGTAAACCGAGGACTGGGGCCGGCCGATTCTGAATTTTTCCACAAGAAAGTCCTCGTATGAATCGAACCCAGTCAACACGCTTTTGTTGTCTTGCTCTCAAGTTTACTTCAATGTTTTTCCAATTCCCCAATTATTCCTGTAATTTTTTGTTGAAGAAAATGAATAAAATCTTTTAAATAAGAGTAAACTAATAATGTTTAACCATATTTTCATTTTGCCCACGGTAATTTTAAAAGTAATAAATCATAACTAACGTTATTGATTTATAACAAATCAATCACTCATCATTAAAGCCATACGAAAATGTGATGTGGCATGTTAAACCCGTGATCTGACACTATTTTTTCATACATTTGACTTCCAAAGCCTTTCACTGGCCTTTAAGAAAAAAAATAAGAAAAAAGTTCAAAAAAACAAGGAAGAAGAAGAATGGGGAAGATGAGAAATTTTTTCTACTTCTTCTCTTTTGTTATTTACAAGTGTAGGATAATGAGAGCTTAAGGAAATGGAAAGAGCACCTTCTTGGATATTATCACAGCCTTGAAACCCTGGTGTTTTTGCTGTTTTGACCGTTGTATGAATTTACGATCGAAACCCATGAAGTTGACAATGATATTAGCAGTTAAAGAACTGGAAGTTGGGAAATGCAGATAGGGCTCATTCCAAACCACCATGGTTTTTCTTCGACCGAAAGCTTTGAGAATATTTGTGTCTTATCATATGGGATTTTCACCTTCTCCTTGTAAGTATCAAGATTAACATTGATGCAATACTAGAATTCATTGTTTGATGGAACAAAGTTTATAGCCTATTGAATAGTGGAAAAAACTCCATGGCCAGATTGATTAACCTTCACCGTTTTGCATTATGCTGATATTTGTTAAACTAAGCAAGAAATCAATGAGTAGAGTATAAAAGCAGTGGGCTGGTGTCATCTTCAAGCTTTAGTTTGTATAAAAAACCAAAATAACGAAGAAGAAGATAAACAGTGTATAACAAATTATAAAAACATCAATAAAATGATACTAATGTTCATCATCGTCAGCATTATAACGAAAACATCATCAGTTCCATCATCGTAACTTAGAAGAAGATGAACAAATCGACATCAGCTGTCCAACCGCAAGGAAAGAGCTAGACATCCATGATGGTGAAGGTAAGATGAAGGTCACGAGGCAGGCCTACTAGATCCAATAACAAGCCAAAGCAATCCATTATCATCCCTCAAGGCCGCACCAATGTTCTATACACCCACATGATGGAGACTGATGACAGATGCGATATCTTAGATAGCGCCACCACTAGACAACGCCAAAGAAGGGTTTGTAACATGAGTGGGACTGTGATTCTGTGAACGTTACTAATGTTACACTTTGGCAACTTACCTTGGCTGGTGTAGTTGTGAGCTTACACGTGTGTTTCGAGATATTATTGTTGTCAGGTTTGTTTTTGTCTTCTCCTACACCATCTTCGGCGCAGGTCTAACCATATACTTAGTGAGAAAACAAGGATAGTTCGTAGGTGGAAGTGTTATTGGGACACTATCTGGTTCAGGTCCTGTTATGAATATGAAATATAACAGCTTCTTTTAGTAACACCGCTTGCGATCGAATTGTCATCGGATGCAGTCGGTGGATAAGAACAACAAATGTCGCCCAAGTCAATTATTCCATTTTCCATGGACTCCAACAAAATCTTCTCAATCCTATTCAGTTACCAAATGAGATAGGAATTTTATGAGAAAATTCCTACAAAAGGGATGAACAAAATTTGGGTAAATTAGATTAAGGGATTGTATTTTGATTTAGAGTTAAAAAATTGACCGTCAACAAGATTTTGATTTCCAGCGTGGCCATAACCTTTTCCAAGTAAGCAGTTAATGAGCCACATAAGTGTTTTGTCACCCATGTTAACGTCTGTTAACAACGAGTAACCGATTTGTTATAAATCGATAATTTTAGTGACTAATTTTGTACTTTTGAAACTTCAATGAGAAAAACAAAAATTTATTTAAACATTATTGACCATTCCTATAGTTTTTTTGGATAAATCATATTTTATTATCCAAGGAGCATAGTTTGCTACAAAAACAATCAGGGTTCCAAAATAATTACAAAATACTTACAAAAAATCAATGTTCTTCAATACCCCAGTGATTGCATATAGAAATATTCACACTATCTACTCTATTGATGTTTTTACTCCTTAGTTGCAGACTAACATTATCTTTAATGGCCTTGATGATTTCTTCTGCAGACCTAGCTCGATTTTGGAACACCCTTTTGTTTCTCTCTTCCCAGATCGTGTAAATGAGGGCATTGAGAGCCATCTTCATGACCATAGTGAGCAGTGATTTGCCTTTCCAATTTGAGCTGGCCCATGCCATGAAGACTTCCCAAGAATATCTAGGAAATTGTAACCCAGAGAGTGAAAACACTACTTTCCAAATGGTGACAGCAGTAGGGCATTTAAGAAATAGATGCTCCCTTGTTTCCAGATCAGAATTGCAGAGGACACAATGGCTTTCGTTGATGAGCCCTATGCGTTGAAGTCGGTCCTTTGTTGGGAGCTTATCAAGGAAAGCCATCCAAGTTATCAGGCTGTGTTTGGGTATATGCAGGGGAAACCATAAAAGTTTCTGCCAAGGGACCTTAGCCTTCTTCTCCCGAAGTGAATCCAAGATTTTACTGGCTTTATTTGCAGCTGGAGTAAGAACTTGGTGAGCCTCGAGTCTGAGTTTAAAGAGTTTCTTGAGACTCCAGCTAGCAGTGGAGTTGATGTCCACAGACCAGAAATTCATCTCCTTGAAAACATATTGATTAAGCCAACCAACCCAAAGAGATCCTTCCCCAACTAGAATGTTTTTAATGAGTGAGATCATACATGCTTTATCCCAGGATTTCATATCCTTGATCCCAAGCCCTCCTTCATATTTCAAGAAACATATATTTTTCCAACTCACTCTTGCTCCAGTAGCAGTTTTGTCAGACCCTTTCCAGAAAAATCGGGAACAGAGTTGCTCAATTTTCTTTAAGACAGAACTAGGCAGGAAAAGTTGTCTACACTAGAAATTAGAAATACTGGACAACATAGACTTAATAAGCTACAATCTTCCTGCATAGCTAAGGTTTTTTGTGGACCAGTGGTGCAGTCTTGATTTAATGTTATATATAAGGACCATACAGTCCTTTTCTGAGATTTTCCTGGTGAGCAGAGGGATGCCTAAGTATCTCACAGGAAGAGAACTTAGGTTGAAGCCAGTGGTTTGTTTAATATTCTCAAGAACGCCAGTAGACATACCAACAACAAAGAACTCACTTTTAGATGCATTTAGTTTAAGGCATGAAATTCCATAGAAGTAATCTAAGACAACAATGACACCAATAATAGATTCCTCATTTCCTTTGCAAAAGATGAGAAGGTCGTCTGCAAAGGTTAAATGTGTCACACCTATCCTTTTGCATTTAGGGTGGTAACCGAACACTCCTCTTGAAGCTGCCAAGTTTAAAAGTCGTGAAGAATGTTCATGGCAAGAATAAAGAGTAAATGAGAGAGGGTCTCCTTGCCTTAAGCCCCTGGCTCCCTTAAAGTATCCAGACAAGCTACCATTAAAAGAAATTGAATAACTTGCTGTTGAGAAGCAAATGAATATCCAATTGGTGAAAATCATAGGAAGTCTAATTGCCTTCAGAATTGCAGAAAAAGAGTTCCAATTAAGTGAATCAAATGCTTTGTGGAGGTCTACTTTCAAAGAGCATCTAGGGGATAAGTTTTTTCTGTTATAGCCTCTAACTAAGTCTTGAGCAAGAAGAGTGTTTTCAATGATGCTCATACCTTTAATAAAAGCGATTTGGTTGAGTGTAACCAAATCAGGCATAAGAGTGTATAGTCTTCTGACAATGATCTTAGAGATGGTTTTATACACTACTGAGGAACAATAAATTGGCCTAAAGTCCTTTACCTTACTCGGGTTTGGGATTTTAGGAACCAATGCAATGATAGTAGCATTGAAAGCGGGTAGGAGATAAGATTCTTTGAAGAAATATGAAATGGCAGCTACAAAATCTCTCTCAATAATAAGCCATGTGTATGTGAAAAAGAATGGAGAATACCCATATGGCCCCGAAGATTTTTCATTTCCTTGACTGAAAAAAGCGTCTTTTATTTCCTCTTTTGTAATACCCTTCTCAAGAGCAGCAGCCTTCTCAACAGGCAAGGAGAACTGGATTAAGTCCTTTAGCAGAATTGGCTGGATTTCTTTGACTGCAGGGTCAACAGTGCCTATCAAGTTGGAAAAGAATTTTATCACCTCTGCTGATATATGATCAAAAGATTCCAGCCTGTTACCATTCTCATCTATGAGGGTGCGAATTGTGTCTTTTTTGTTTTTAAGGGCAACTGCAAAATGAAAATATCTGGTTCATTTGTCACCCTCCTTCAACCATTGGACTTTTTCTTTTTATCTGAAGAACAAAGCTTCAGCTTCCTCCAGATTTTCCAGCTTATTTTAAAGGTACAACTCCTTTAAATAACTGCCCCAATTCTATGTATTTAACATTCGAGGTAGGTATAAAAAACATGAAAATTATCTCTGGAATTCTCTCAAGCTTGTCCCTCTCTGGAATTCTATCTTTGCGACACTGGTGAAGATGAGAATTTCTATAGTCATCGGCACATTTCTAATGATGATTCGATGTAAGGCTATTATTTTTGTTTTTGTTAATCGTTTTTGGTTATTCTTGTTTTTAGGTTTTGTGGTATAGCTAACACTATTGCCTGAGAGTTTTTCTATCTAGCTAAATGGCCCCTAGGTACATATAAGCTTCAGAACCTCATGGTTGTTTTCACTTTTTCTGTGAGGTTTCATTTTCGATCCAATGGTTACTCTCCAGGATCTTGATTGATTATTATATGGGAGAACAACTATTTTCTTTTTGAATTATTTTATTGAAAATGGGGTTAAGTATACTTATTTTGTTTAGATGGATTTGCAGAGTCTTATCCTAAGACTCTCCCATCTCAATCTGGTGATGTGGAGATCTTTATTTGAGGGGTGTAGATGATTGTGAGGCAGCTGATGGGCATTTTATTCTTGAGGATTCTTGGACGTTATTCGCACTACTGATACTCAGGTTGGTATTTCCCTCGATCTCTATCCTATCTCGTGTCATTTTGTGGTACGATTCTTTAGTAACTATTATTTTTTGTTGTTGAATTTCATACGAGGGCTTCTATTTCTCTGAAAAGTTCTCACATGAGCATTGGTTCCATTGATTAGTGTTTCAAAGGAGGCTCAGGGGTGACGATTCTAAATTTATTCAACTCAATTATATCATTTTTTATTCATTATATGTATGCGTTTTTTTTGTCAATTTTCAATTGCAATTGCAAATTTGATTTCTTGCTTATTCAAGCTGAAATGATAGAGGGTAAACTACCCTTGATTATGGATCTAGTGAATGAGCAAGTACATGCAAGAAGATTTGCTCAAATGTAATGCTTAGTAGTTGATGTAAGGGAGAAATAGTGGGCTGTTTTGTAAAGAATGAATGAGTATGGCTGCGGAAGTAGATTGGGAGTTGCGATGGGCTTAAGAAAGAAATGAAAATGGTTAGGATATTATCTGGAACAACTAAGGCAGAAACTAGGCTATATGAAGCCTAACACCAAACCTTATGAGTTGAACAAGGGGTGGTAGCAAAGGACTTTGACCCTTTTGGTATATTAAACGAAAAGAACCAGAAGTATCAATGGAAGATAGGAGTTCGACGCCAAAAGATCATAAGGTCTTCATAAGTTGATAAAAGTTATAAAGAACTTAAGCAAAGAGGAAAACCTCACCATTATATTTGATGAAATGGGAGTGATGCCTTACAAGAGCCAGGACATTGACTTTACATAGAAAATGAAAGGAAATGGCAAAATAGCTATGTAATGTTTCAGCTAGGCACTTCCTTGAATAGTTACAATGCTATAAATTAATAACTAGGATGCTACAAAGTTAAAAGTGAAGGCAATGGTTCAGTTAGGCTATTTCTCCCTTTGGTCGAATTATTATGTTGGTTTGGCTAAAGGAAATTCGAATTATGTGGTGTAGAATGCTTGTGGCAAAATAGGTGTGTTGCTCTTCATGCTTGGAGCCCAAATGTGTGGTTGAGAGTGCATGGTCGAATGGTTACAACCCCTTGTTGTGGCTCATAGTTTGAATTATAAAGGGAAAGACACATGCTTCTTTAATGAATGCACATGACCCTTGCTTGATGTGCTCCTCCACACCTTTCCTTATGGTGTTCCCTCAACCACATGTTGTTCACATGGTTAGGTGCATGCTAGGAGGTGAGTTAGGTAGCTAACTAAGAGCTTATGTAGCTAGCTAGGTAGTGTAGGTAGCAAGATAGGTACCTAGTGTCACTACAACTACCTTCAGCTGCTACAAGTCCTCAATGCACTCAATTACTATAGTCTTCAGCTTCCCTTCAGCTAGTGTCAGCTGGCTTTCAGCTTCTTTAGCTAGTTCTTAGCTACATTCCATTTGTATAGAGTTTTCTTGAGCTAGATTGAGCAAACATAGGTTGAGTGAGCTTCCAAAGTTTGGAACATTGTCTCCTAAGGTCCCATGTACCTACAAAAGATATGAAATCATAAATGTGATTTGTGTAACATAGGTAAATATTACATATGTGTAATGCAACCTATGATAAACTAAGTGAGAGCTAAGAAATGATGCATATGCATGAAATGAGCTAGGAATAGATGCATAATCATATAATAAACTAAGTAAAGATGTAAATGGATATATATTTTTAAGAAAAATATAAGATGAACATAATTTAAGGGTATGTAACATAGGGAATGTAATCTTCACACTTATCGTTACATAGTTAATATTCATGCTATGATAAATAAGTAAAACATAAGTATAAGTATAGAAATGTGAGAAAATGTGTAGTAAAGTTCCCTAGTCGTTAAAGCACTCCATGCTTGAAGAAAGGAAGATGAAAAATGGAAGATGTATAACTAAGATCACATCATCCCACTTCTTTGAAGCGATTTGTCCTTAAATCGAAATCCTCAGACAACTGGAACTTGATCATTATGGGAAGGATCGAATATATATTATTTTGTTAAACTTTGTTTTATAATATTTTGATATAACAAATTAAGGCAAAATGTTTTTAGACTTTATTGAATTTGTTCAAAGTTTTCAAAAATAATTCAAAGTCCATTAAACTATAATTTGAGCTCAAAACAATTTTATGGGTAAGTAGTACTGATATTGTTCTTACAATATCAATACTACATGAACAATAACGATACTGTTCATGTGGTACCGATACCAAAGGTAAGAAAAGTATCAATACTCTCTAGGTAGTATCAATACTACCAGTTTTTTTTCAAACGACTCAAATTCCAAAATACAAAATGGGTAGCGATACCGAAAGGGGTACCGATACTACTTTACACAGTGGTATCGACACCATGACGCATATTATCAATATTAGTCAAGCCCAACGGTTTTTAACGGTTAGTTTATTTAAAAATTTCAAAGGTAGTACCGATACTCATTAAAGGAGTACTGATACTCCCTGTCCTTGGCAGTTTTATTTTACAGAAAATTAATCCCCAACGGCTCCAAAACATCCTCAACGACTAGAAACGATCACAAACTCATTCCAACATATAAAAACAAGTGGAGGACACTTGAAGAAGGTTACCGACACCTATCCAAGCATTCATACAAAAGAGAAAAGTTTTTCAATCTTTATTTTATTTCTCTTGTAAATATTTGGGTGTTGAGCTTAATTGTATATCCTTAGGTTTTGTTTTTGTGAGCTTAAACTTTGTAAACACCTACCTTGTAAGGGTTTTCTTGTTTATATCTTTTATCCTTTTTAAAGGGTTTTGGTTCTAGAGGTAAGTGAAAAACTAGAGAGTTGTAAAGGTTATCTCTTGATCCTTGAAAAAGAAAGAACAAATTAGTGAATTTGTTAGAAAATCCTAAGTGAAGAGCTTAGGTAGTGGATGTAGACATGGTTTAGAAGTCGAACCACTATAAATCATTATGCAAATTCTCCTATGTTTTTTCCTCTATACCCAATTTTTTTCAATTGGCCAATTCACCCAACTTGGTAATTATTCGGTTGATCATTGAGATTCATCGAAATCCCAACAATTGGTATTAAATCATGACTCATTAGAAGATCTAACAACCTTGAGATGATCATTGAAGAAGCTATATCCATTTTTGACACAACCGAGAAGATGACTTCCACCTCTGGCTCGTTCTATATGAAAGACTCCCAACCGATCGACAATTCTCCATACTTCAATGGAGCCAACTACTGTCATTAGAAGAAATTAATGAATCTAATCATCCAATCCAATGATTTTGATGCATGGGAGATGATCGAGAACGACTACTCTTCTCTAAAGAAAAAGACAAAGGAATGAAGTGCCCAAGAATGGAAGAACACTCAACAAAATGCTAAGGCCAAGCACATGTTTTGTGCATTTGATCCTAATGTCTATGAAGGAGTTTCTTCTTGTTCAAATACAAGGGAGCTTTGGAATAAGCTCGAGGAACTTCATGGTGACAAGAAAGAAGAACCACCAGTGGTAGTGTGATTAATGGCTTTTGAAGAGCCCAATGTATCTTCTAACTCTAGTGAATGTAATTCATATGCTTTTAATGAGTTACAAGATGTATACGATAAATTATTTTTGGAGTGTGAGACCATGAACTCCAAATACAAGAAAATGATTTCAAAACTTAAAGTTGAAAATGATTTTCTTTTGAAAGAAAAAGTTGATTTTGAAACAAAATGAAATTTTGAAAAAGGATTTAGAGCTTTCAAAAATGAAAAATGAAAATTTTGAAAAATAAAGTTTTTATTTAAAGTTTAAGCTTGAATGTTTAACAAAAGAAAAGGAAATCATTTTAAATAATGCATCTAATTTCATAATGACAAAATGCTCACGTTGTTATTATCATGATCACAAGGAACATACTTGTCCTTTAAAGAAAGGTAAACTTTTAAAATTATACAAGTATGGATTCTTAAGGGAACAAGGGGCATTGAAACTAACATTCTAGGACCCAAAGGAATTTGGGTACCAAAATCCAAATAAATGTATCTTGTAGGTTTGTGGGAGCAATAGTGACAAAGTCAAGAAATTGAGATGCTCTAGCCACACTTGAAAAGGAATGGGTAACCTCTAAGCTTAATGTTTTTGTTTTGATTAATTGGTTGCCTATTTGTTTTAAGCATGCATGAGTTTTGGTCTTAAATGATTATGCATTGTTTTTCATTTCATGTATGTTGAAAAGTATATTTTGATGAACATTTTAAAGTTTAATGATTTTTCATAATTTTTAGTTCACCATAATGAATTTTGATCAAAATTGGTTTTAATGCTTTGTTTTTACAAATTTTAATTTTTGACCTGAATTTAAATGTTTATGCATATGATTTATTGCAAATGATATCTCTCTAACAATAGATATCAATTTTTCAAATGCATAACATTTTTAATAGCTTTATGCACATGCACTTAAATACAACTATTGGTATTGCATAAAGTATATTAGACTTGGATATATTGAATTTCATGTGCTACTAACTTGTTTGTTTATCTTTGTTGAAATTCAATGTCTTTTAAATGTCAAGCTTTTAAAGTCCAATTTTTGTTTGAAATGCATTTATTGAGGGGGAACTTTGATTTTTCAAATGATTTTATGCTAAAATTTACCATTTACTCTCAATCGTTATTTTTGAACATTAAATTTGAATTATTTTTTATATAACGAAAATGATGTGAAGTATAGGTTTGAAAAATTCAATTTCTCAATGAAAAAGGGGGAGCTTTAATATTTTCCAAAAATCTCTTTTTCATTAAATATATAATTAAGGGGTAGCTTTGCCAAAAACAAAATTTCAATTGTTTTGTTATATCGAAAAGGGAGAGATTGTTGAAATATGTTTTATAATATTTTGATATAAAAAATTAAGGAAAAATGTTTTTTGACTTGGTTGAATTTGTTCAAAGTTTTTAAAAATAATTAAAAGTCATTAAACTAGAATTTGAGCAAAAAATAGTTTTCAGGGTAAGTAGTACCGATATTGTTCTTACAATATCGATACTACATGAAAAATACCGATATTGTTCATGTGGTTCTGATACCAAAGGTAAGAGAAGTATCGATACCCTATATATAGTATCGATACTACTTTATGCAGTGGCATAGATACCATTAAGCATAGTATCAATACTAGTCAAGCTCAACGGTCTTTAACAACTAGTTTATTTAAAAATTATAAAGGTATTACCAATACTCATTAAAGGAGTACCAATACTTCATGTCTTGGACAATTTTATTTTGTAGAAAATTAATCCCCAATGGCTCCAAACATCCCCAACGGCTCCAAAACATCCCCAACGGCTAGAAACATTCACAAACTCATTCCAACATATAAAAACAAGTTGAGGACACTTGAAGAAGGTTACCAACACCTATCCAAGTACTCATACATAAAAGAAATTTTTTTCAATCTTTATTTTTTTCCTCTTGTAAATATTTATGTTTTGAGCTTAATTGTATATCCCTAGGTTTTGTTTTTGTGAGCTTAAACTTTATAAACACCTACCTTGTAACGATTTTCTTGTTTACATCTTTTATCCTTTGTAAAGGGGTTTTGGTTCTAGTTTAGCCAAGTGAAAAATTAGAGAGTTGTAAATGTTATCTCTTGATCATTGAAAAAGAAAGAACAAATTAGTGAATTTGTTATAAAATCCTAAGTGAGGAGCTTAGGTAGTGGATGTAGACTTGGTTTAGAAGTCGAACCACTATAAATCTTTGTGCAAATTCTCCTACCCTTTGTCCTCCATACCCAAGATTTTTCAATTGGCCAATTCACCCCCTCTTGGCAATTATTCGTTTGATCGTTGAGCTTCATCAAAATCCTAACAATTGGTATCAGAGCTTGACTCATTAGAAGGTCTAACAACCTCAAGACAATCCTTGAAGCAGCTCTATCCATTTTTGACACAACCGAGAAGATAACTTTCACCTCCGGCTCGTTCTAAATGGAAGACTCCTAATCGATCGACAAGCTTCCATACATCAATGGAGCTAACTACCATCATTGGAAGAAATTAATAAAGTTATTCATCCACTTTAATGATCTTGATTCATGAGAGATTATCGATAACAACTGCTCTTCTCCAAAGAAGAAGACGAAGGAGTGAAGTGCTGAAAAACGGAAGAAAACTCAACAAATACTAAGGCCATGCACATGTTGTTTTGTGCATCTGGTCCCGATATCTATTAAGGAGTTTCTTCTTGTTAAAATGCCAAAGAGCTTTGAAATATTCTCGAGGAACTTCATGGTGATAAGAAAGAAGAACCACCAAAGGTAGTGTGCTTAATGGCTCTTGAAGAACCCGTTGTATCTTCTAACTCTAGTGAATCTAATTCATATTCATATAATGAGTTACAAGATGCATACGATGAATTATTTTTTGTAGTTTGAGGCCATGAACTCCAAATAGAAGAAAATGATTTCAAAACTTGAAGTTGAAAACGATTTTCTTTTGAAAAAAAAAGTTGATTTTGAAAAACAAAATGAAATTTTGAAAAAAGATTTAGAGCTTTCAAAAATGAAAATTGAAAATTTTGAAAAAGAAAGTTTTGATTTAAATTTTAAGCTTGAATACTTAACAAAAGAAAAGGAAATCATTTTAAATAGTTCATCTAATCTTATAATGAAAAAAATGCTCACATTATCATTATCATGGTGACAAGGAAGATACTTGTCCTTTAAAGAAAGAAAAATGTTTTAAAATTAAACAAGTATTGATTCCTAATGGAACAAGGGGCATTGAAACTAACATTCTATGACCCAAAGCAATTTGGGTACCAAAATCCAAACAAAGTGAAAAAAATTGAGATACTCTAGCCACACTTGAAATGGAATGGACAACCTTTAAGCTTAATGTTTTTGTTTTGATTAATTGGTTGCCATTTTGTTTTAAGCATGCTTGAGTTTTTATCTTAAATGATTATGCATTTTTTCATCTCATGTACGTTGAAAACTATATTATGATGGACATTTTAAAGTTTTAATGATTTTTCATAATCTTTAGTTCATCATAATGAATTTTGGTCAAAATTGGTTTTAATGCTTTGTTTTTACAGATTTTAATTTTTGACCTTAATTTAAATGTTTATGCATGTGATTTATTGTAAATGATATCTCTCTAACAATTGATATCAACTTTTCAAATGCATAACATTTTTGGATAGCTTTATGCACATGCACTTAAATACAATTATTGGTATTGCATAAAGTATATTAGACTTGGATATATTGAATTTCATTTGCTACTAACTTGTTTGTTTATCTTTGCTGAAATTCAATGTCTTTTAAGTGTCAAGCCTTTAAAGTCAAATTTTTGTTTGGAATGCATTTATTGAGAGGGAGCTTTGAATTTTCAAATGATTTTATGCTAAAATTTACCACTTACTCTCCTTTGTTATTTTTTAACTTTAAAGTTGAATTATTTTTTATATTAAAAAGGAGGAGAAGCATATGTTTGAAAAATTCAATTTTTCAATGAAAAATGGGGAGCTTTAATATTTTCCAAATATTTATTTTTCTCATTAAATATTTAATTAAGGAGGAGTTTTGCCAAAAACAAATTTTCAAATGTTTCATTATATCAAAAAGGGGGAGATTGTTGAACTATGTTTTATAATATTTTTGATGTAAACAAATTAAGGCAAAATGTTTTTGGACTTGATTGAATTTGTTCAAAGTTTTCAAAAATAATTCGAAGTCCATTAAACTAGAATTTGAGCACAAAACAGTTTTTTGGGTAAGTAGTACCAATACTGTTCTTATAGTATCAATACTATATGGGCAATACCGATACTGTTCAAATGGTACCGATACCAAAGGTAAGAGAAGTATCGATACCCTCTAGGTAGTATCGATACTACCGGGTTTTTTTCAAATATCTCAAATTCCATAATACAAAATAGGTACCGATACTGAAAGGGGTACCGATACTACTTTACACAGTGATATTGATACCATGAGGCATAGTATCGATACTGGTTAAGTCCAATGGTCTTTAACGACTAGTTTGTTTAAAAGTTTACAAAGGTAGTACCGATAGTCATTAAAGGAGTACCGATACTCCATAATATAAAAATTAATCCCCAACGGCTCCAAAACATCCCCAACGGCTAGAAACATTCACAAACTCATTCCAACATATAAAAACAAGTTGAGGACACTTGAAGAAGGTTACTGACACCTATCCATGCATTCATACACAAGAGAAACGTTTTTCAATCTTTATTTTCTTTCTCTTGTAAATATTTGTGTTTTAAGCTTAAATGTATATCCTTAGGTTTTATTTTTGTGAGCTTAAACTTTTTAAACACCTGCCTTGTAAGAGTTTTCTTTTTTACATCTTTTATCCTTTGTAAATGGGTTTGGTTCTAGTTTAGCCAAGTGAAAAACTAGGGAGTTGTAAAGGTTACCTTTTTATCATTTAAAAAGAATGAATAAATTAGTGAATTTGTTAGAAAATCCTAAGTGAGGAGCTTATGTAGTGGATGTAGACTTGATTTAAAAGTTGAACCACTATAAATCATTGTGTAAATTCTCCTATCCTTTCTCCTCTATACCCAAATTTTTTCTATTAGCCAATTTACCCCCTCTTGGCTATTATTCGGTTGATCATTGAGCTTCATCGAAATTCCAACACTTTCTCCTTAGCATATATTTCTTCTTATCTTCTTTCTTTATGCAGAATATACTTTAAAGGATAGTTGAAAAGATTATCTTCTTTGAAGGCCTTTCTTTGGAATCATTGTTTCCAAAATGTACCTTATACGAAGAGTTCTCTATTCTTTGTTAACCTATAAAAGAGAGGTGCATACCTTTTTTTCATGAGACATTGTTTCCTTTGAATCTGAAGAACTTGTCCAATTATGTCCTTCAACCAAATAATTTCACAATTCATTTAGTGATTCCTCTTGTTTGCTCGAATGGATGCAAACTTCATGTAGGTCCTCTTTCAAAACAAAGTTTCCTTTGGTGAAAGAATATGTCCCTTCTTTTGGTTCATCACATACTTCTTCAAGTGGATTGTCTTGTTTATTCACGAACCAATGTGATTCTTAATTTGAACCTTCTTGTTGCTTCAATACAGTGCCTTTTCTAGGTACTGAATCATTATACCGTTTGGTGTAAAAGTATGTCTCTCCAAATAGCTTTCTTGGTTCAATCTCCTTATATGGGAAAATTCTTGTTTTTGCTTTGTTCTCCTTGTCCTTAGTTGTAGATGTGGTCTTCCTAAATACTTCCACACTATCCTTCATATGCTTTTGATCATTGAGTACAAGTTGTGGTGACAATGGCTTGAGCGTGATTTTATTCCCATCTTGCTTGAATGTATAATGATTAATATAACAATCGTACATGGTCTTCTTGTCGTACTACCATGGCCTTCCAAGTAATAGGTGGCTAGCATACATAGGGACAACATCACAAAGAACATTATCCTTGTACTTTCCAATTGAGAAATGAACAAGTACTTGTCAGTTGACACTGAGTTCATTTCCATCATTTAACCACTGTAACTTGTAAGGTGTTGGATGCTTTTGTGTCTTCAATCCTAATTTCTCAACCACGATAGATCTAACAACATCAGTACAACTACCACTATCAATGATCATCTAACATACATTTCCTCTCACATTGCATATGGTATGAAAGATGTTTTCTCGTTGTTGCTCTTCGTTTTTCACTTATGTACTTAAAATTCTTTTGATTACCAAGAGCTCTCCTTCCACTGCATCTACCTCTTCTTCCCCGTCTTCAGTAACTTCTTTTTCTCGTTCATCTTCGGGATCGAATGCAACTTCTTCACTCTCAAGTAACATCATGGTGTTGTGGTTGGGGCATTGATTTTCAACATGGTCTCTTCATAAGCATTTGAAACACTTTATGTATTTAGTGCTCTCAGCACTTGTTTCTTGTTTTTCTTTACCTTTTCCTTCCACCATGGGTTACTTCATCTTTGGGGTCTCTATATTCTCTTTGATTTGTAAGGGAATTTGCTTTTTGTACCTGCCCACTCATTAATTCCACCAGATAGAAGAAGAAGTGATGCCTCGAATTGAACTCCTCCTCTTGAGTTGCCTTTCTATTTTCATGTCCATATGGGCCATCTCATTTAGTTCCACATAGTGCTGTAATTTCAGAATGTTAGAAATTTTAGGATTCAAACTTGCTAGATACTTTGCCATGGTTTCCCCCCGATCTTTTTCAATATTTGAATGGATCATTGTTACTTCCATTTTCTTGAAGTAGTCCTCTACTGATGAGTGTTCTGAATCGATAATATTTTCTCGTTGATTTTTTTAATCTTATGAATTTATTGCTGCTTATTTGGTTGTTTTATGCTTATTTTCGTGCAGGATCTTATTTCCAGAATTAGCATTAAAAAGGGCGTACTATGTATTTTTTATATTATTTTTTTCATGGATGGAGACATGGGAACGACTTTGGGCATGACACGATCTGACGTGGTAGTTTCTAGAAGGTCTAGTTAGCTGCAGTTTTCTAGAAGATCTAGTCAGTACCTTCTGGAAGGTGGACGGGCGAAGATTTCTTAGGAGACTTATTTTTAAATTTTAAAGTTTGAATTTAGAAAACATTTGGAATTATCTTTAGGATTATTTTAATTTTAATTTTTATGTTTATCTCTAGGATTTTACAGGCTATAAATACCCAATTGGGGTAAGCCTAAACACACAACTCAAAATTTACTATTCTTCTTCTTTCTAGGTTTATAAAGTTATTTATTTTCTTTTTCTTTTCAAGTTTTCGTTTTTACTTTATTTCAAGTTTTTAAACATGCTAAGTATGACTTTTGTCATGGTTAGCTAATTTTCTCATAAGCCGAGAGCTAAGCGATGACTCAATTCCAACGTGAGAATTGAAAAACACTTGAATAACTTCAGAATATCTTTCTCAATCTCTGCGCTTATTTTTCAAAATCAAAATAGTTTCCAAAATCAAATATTAACTTTGGTCAAGATGTTGTTGTGATTAAATGTGTGGGAGGACGGATCGACTTATTGAAAGCGTATTTGACTTCCTAGGAACACACTTGGAGACATTGCCTTGCCAAGAGGGAATTGAGATCAGAATTAGTAGTTATTGAAACAATAATCCGAGTCGATCTTCACGAACTTAAATGGTTATTGATCTACGATAATTGATGTTGATCAGATCAATTTCTGAAGCCATAATAAAAGACTGTTGGGTATTAGGTCTACAAAATAGAGTCACGAGGATTGTCCTTGTAGACAAAGTAACTGACATGAATCCCTAATGGAAAATCTAATTCGATGATCCAAAGGAAATTGAGTCAAAGTGAGGCTTGAGGCTATTTTTACCATATTCATTTTTAACCTTCAATTTTTATTCTCTCTTTTTTTTCTTTAAATTGTTTTTTATTATTTAATATTTTTTACCAAAACCCCCCTTTTACAACTTAACACCTGGTTTAAACCATTCAAATAGAAATTTGGAATTTTCTAAGTCCTTGAGGATCGATCTTTACTTCTCTTTACTACGTATTTCTTTTATTTATTAATTGAGAAGAAGGAATTTATTTTGACATCAAAACGACAATTGTCAAATTGGCGTCGTTGTCAGGGATTTCGCCAAAGTTACTAATTTTTGTTTGCTTTTGATTTATGACTAGGACAAACTCGAGCGAATTAGTGGAGTACGACCTGAAAATCGAAACCAGAGCTAGGAGACTTCACACACAGACGCTACGGGAAAAAAGAGACAACAATCAGATCAAGAATTGAATTCAGAATCAAGTTCAAGCGAAGTCGTTAATACCGAAACAAATCCGATGGTTGATCCTACTATCAGAGAATTAGCCACAACTCCTACTGAAAAAAAGCCTTTGTGCATTGATTTTCCCCAAGGAGAAACTCTATACCAGTTAAAAAATCACCTTATTCATCTCCTCCCTACCTTCTGCGGATTACCAAACAAAAATCCACATAAACATCTCATGAAATTTTACATGGTCTGCTCCAGCATGAGACCATAGGGAATAACCAAGGACCAAATCGTACTAAGAGCTTTTATTTTTTCCATAGTCAATATGACTAAGTAGTGGTTACGAAGAAGAATACTTGGAATCAAGCAACTTGATGGAGAGTCACTCTATGACTACTAGAGAGATTTAAAAATTATGTGCTTGTTGCCCACAACATGGTTTAACCGAACAAACGCTCCTTAAATATTTTATGAAGGATTAAATCTCCTGGAAATGAAGACGATCGATGCTCCCATTGGACGAGCTTTAGTGAATATGAATCCTACTGAGGCTAGGATTTAATTTCCACGATGGCCACAAATTCCCAACATTTCCGCCCAACTAATGAACCTTCTCGGAGGGTTCATGAGATAATTTAATCTTCCTTAAAAAGCAAGATAGATAAATTAATTGAAGTAGTTAACTCTCTTATTGCAGGAAAGATAGAAACCAACATATTATGTGGAATATGTGTGTTACCTAATCATTCAACAGATGGTTGTCGACTGATTCAAGATGACACATAAGCTCAAGTCAATATAGTAGGGAACTTTCTGGGACCTCCCCAGCGGGCTTATAAGCCCTACAACAATACTTACAACCTAGGATGGAGGGATCATCCAAATTTTAGTCACGCTCAAATTTCAAGGCCGAATCAAGCTTATCAACCAAGGCCACCTCCACCACCCCATAGTCGTAGAAGACATTATTAGAGTAAATTGTTGAAAGATTAGCTCTTTCCCAGGAAAAATTTCAGATTTGTACTGAAGCCTATTTCCAAGAGATGGATAAGCAGATAAGCCAACTGGCTCAAACCATAAGATGCTTGGAATCACAAGGTAAACTTTCGTCTCAAAACGAGGTAAATCCAAGGGAGAATGTCAACGCCATCACTCTTTGGAGTGGTACAGTAGTCGCGCCACCTATTCTAGAAGATGAAGAAATCCAAAAAGGAAATAAGATTGTGGACTCAGGATCCCAGAAGAAGAGTGACGAAATACAAATGGATCCAACGCCATCTCCCTATGACGTACCAACACTTTTTTCATCGACGTTAGTAAAAAGGGATAAATAAATTGAGGAAAAGGAAATACTAGATGTATTTTAGAATGTGGAAATCAATATACCTCTCCTTGAGGTTATCCGAAAAGTTCCAAGATATGCCCAATCTTTTTCAACATTTGCACGGATCATTGTTACTTCCATTTTCTTGAAGTAGTCATCTACACTCTTATTTCCTTAATTGAGGTTTTGTAACATTTGGAATAAGTCTCGGTGATAATGGAGATGAATGAACCTTCTCCTTATAATGTCCTTCATATTTAGCCAATTAATGATTGGTTTTTCTCTATTTATTCTTCTGGTTGAAGTTAATTGATCATACCAAAAAATGATGTAATCAACAAACTCTATTAATGCCAATCTTGACCTTATTCTTCTCGGAGTAATTATGGCATCTAAAAACATGATCAACCTTGGTCTCCCAATTCAGATATACTTCAGGATCATTTTTGCCTTGGAATTTAGGAATGGTTAGTTTAATGCTTTTCAAGTTATCAACAAAGTACATGCTTCCATTATTGTTTCTATGAACAACCCTCCTTGAACCATGTGAAACAACATTGACTTTTTCATCTTCACTCTTCTTGCTCTACACTCCTTGGTTACCTTGGGTTACCTCCAAATCCTTCTATTCGATCCAACCTTTCAAGGAGGGGCTCAAGTTCTAATCTCATCATACGAATCATTTCCTGAATAAGAGCCTGATTCTGTAAGTTTGGGGCTGCTCCTCGAGGCAATTGACATGATTTTCTAAACATGGTTAGAAATAAAATAAGAAAGAAATCTGTAAATGGACCTTAGCAGTATGCTCTCACAAAGAACCGAAAGTATGCACTACAAAAGAAAAATGACACTCAAACTCTCATGTTTTCACTCAGGATATACTTGGCTTTTACATGTCCTCTTCTAATCTCTTCCAGTCAATACCTTTTTCCACTTGTCCTCTTGTGCAAAAGTTCTGAAAGAACTTAACTCAAAACTTTCTTATGTCTCGGTCTTAGTTAGCATAGGCTATAAGGGGTTAAAGGATAGGGTAAAATAAAAAATGATAAGAATGGTGGCTAGAAGCAAAGATAGAAAATAAATAAAGGGTTACTTACAAGCAAGCACTCACACTTTTCACCACAATCAAAGGTCTTGATGATTTGCCTTGTGATGTTGAACCTTTTGTTGTTGTTGAAGTGCTAACCCTTTATATTTTTCTCCTTTTTGATGGTGCTTCACTTTGTACTTTGGCCTCCACTTTATATTTGAACTCCTTTTGATGTTGTTTTGGAGCCTTTTCTTTGTTTTCTTCACTTGGCTGAAATGCACCTTGCCTTGACTTTCTTTTTTACTTTTTTTCTTCTTCTTTTTTTGTAGGGATTCTTGCTACACATTGGCTCTTCACCCAAAGTTCTGATTACTTCTTGATAGAGGGCAAACTATCATTAATTGTGGATCTAGTGAATGAACAAGTACTTGCAAAAGGATTGGCTCAATTGGAAGGATTGGTAGTTGATGTAAGGGATAAATGGTGGGTTGTTTCGTAAAGAATGTATGAGTATGGTTGTAGAAATAGATTAGGTGTGGTGATGGGCTTAAGAAAGAAATGGAAATGGTTAGGATAGTATCTTGAACAACTAACGCATAAACTAGGCTATAGGAAGCCTAACACCAAACCTTATAAGTTGAACAAAGGGTTCTAGCAAAGGACTTTGACCATTTTGGTATATTAAACCAAAAGAACCTGAAGTACCCATGAAAGATAGGGGTTGACGTCAAAGATCCTAAGGTCTTGATAAGTCGATAAAAGTTCTAAAGAACTTTAGTCCAGAGGAAAAGCTCGCAATTATATTTGATGAAATGGGAGTGATGTCTTACAAGATCCAAGGCATTGGCTTTATATAGAAAATGAAAGGAAATGGCCGAACAACTATGTATTTTTTTTGTTAGGCACTTCCTTTAATAGTTA